ATCCTTTTTTTGAAATTTTTCAACATAGCTCCTAGTGCGTTGGGCTTACTTTGTGCCTCGCCTATGTTTCCTCTAGACAAAACACCACGCTCACACCACACGCACACCACAAAACAAAGAATGGGTAAAAAGGGCACACACACACTTGTGTAGTTTACACCAAACCAAAATCAAAACCAAAATCAGAGTATCCAGAAATCCAAGCCAGGGCAAAACCAAAACCAAAGTATCAAGCAATCCAAGTCAAGTCAAAAACAAAAACCAAAGTGCCGGTACAGGCACACAGTGGGTGATCAGGCCACACTTCCACTCAAATGGAGTAGGTAAGTTCCCAAAACCAATCCTATCAAGCAATTCAAACCAAGTCAAAACCAAAACCAAAACCAAAACCAAAGTGCTGGTACAGGCACACCATGGGTGATCAGGCCACGCTTCCACTCAAATGGAGTAGGCAAGTTCCCAAGACCAATCCTGTCAAGCAATTCAAACCAAGTCAAAACCAAAACCAAAGTGCCGATAAAGGCACACCGTCGGTGATCAGGCCACGCTTCCACTCAAACGGAGTGGGCAAGTTTCAAAGACTAGTCTTACCAAGTTTTAGATGTCCAGACTCCAAGTGCCCGTTCCTTCCAGGTGTTCAGCCACTGCGTTGATCCTCCACGTGGGCCTGCCACACACTGCTCTGGTGAAGCATCCCACTGGGGGAAATGCCTACCCGGGAGCGCTCTCAGGATCCGCGTTGCTCGGGCTGGTCTGAGTCCCCTGAAGGGATGTTCCACAGGGCAGGCTTAAGCCGCCTAAGGAGCTGCCTTGACCATCCACCATTCACCTTGCTTCCCGGTCAGGGAACCAAGAAATGTAGCAGAACGAGCGCAGACAAAACTCCTCAGACACCGAGTTACAGAAGGAAGGGGTTTATTCGGCCGGGGGCATCGGCAAGACTTTAGTCTCAATAGCCGAGCTCCCCGAGTGAGCAATTCCTGTCCCTTTTAAGGGCTCACAACTCTAAGGGGGTGCATGTGAGACGGTCGTGATTGATTGAGCATGCAGGGGGTATGTGACTGGGGGCTGTGTGCACCAGTAATTAGATCGGAACAAAACAAGATAGGGATTTTCACAGTGCATTTCTATACACTGTCTGTAATCTATAGATAACAGAACCAATTAGGTCAGGGGTCGATCTTTAACTACCAGGCCCAGGGTACGGTGCCGGGCTGTCTGCCTGTGGATTTCATTTCTGCCTTTTCGTTTTTACTTCTTTTTTCGTTGGAGGCAGAAATTGGGCATAAGACAATATGAGGGGTGGTCTCCTCCCTTAGTGAAATGTCATCAGTTAAGGCAAGGACCGGCCATTTTCACTTCTTTTATGGTGGAATGTCATTGGTCATGGCGGGGCAGGGCATTTTCACTTCTTTTGATTCTTCAGTTACTTCAGGCCATCTGGGGGTATTCGTGCAAGTCACAGGGGATGTGATGGCTTGGCTTGGGCTCAGAAGCCTGACACTCTCCCTGCTGATCATGTCTAGCTAATCTCCCAAAGCCCAATCCCTTCTACAAAACAACTCCTTTCCTTCCTAGGCATGGTTAGTGCGGTCAGAATTCGTACACAAGAGTTGGGACCGTGTCCTGTAGCCTTTCTGTCCAAGCAACTTGACCTTACTGTTTTAGCCTAGCCCTCATGTCTGCATGCAGCAGCTGCCACTGCTTTAATACTGTACCACGTGCTGTAGCCTTCCTGTCCAAACAACTTGAACTTACTGTTTTAGCCTAGCCCTCATGTCTGTGTGTAGCAGCTGCCACCACTTTAATACTGTTAGTGGCCTTAAAAATCACAAACTATGCTCAACTCTCTACAGTTCTCATAACTTCCAAATCTATTTTCTTCCCCCAACCATCACTCAAGACAACGCTTATGTTGATAAAGTAACTAAAAAGCAGCCATCAAAAAGCATCAGATTCCATCGCTCAGGACAATGCTTATGCTGATAAGTTAGCTAAAAAAGCAGCTAGCGTTCCAACTTCTACCCCTCACAGCAGTTTTCCTCCTTCTCACTCTCACCTACTTCCCCACTGAAACTTCCACCTATCAATCTCTTCCCACACAAGGCAAATGGTTCTTGACCAAGGAAAATATCTCCATCCAGCCTCACAGGCCCATTCTATTCTGTCGTCATTTCATAACCTCTTCCATCTAGGTTACAAGCCGCTAGCCTGTCTCTTAGAACCTCTCATTTCCTTTCCATCCTAGAAATCTATTCTCAAAGAAATCACTTCTCAGTGTTTCGTCTGCTATTCTACTACTCCTCAGGAATTTCTCAGGCCCCCTCCCTTTCCTACGCATCAAGCTCAGGGATTTAACCCTGCCCAGGACTGGCCAATTGACTTTACTCACACGCCCCAAGTCAGAAAACTAAAATATCTCTTAGTCTAGGTAGACACTTTCACTGGATGGGTACAGGCCTTTCCCACAGGGTCTGAGAAGGCCACTGCGGTCATTTCTTTCCTTCTTTCTCGGTTTGGCCTTCATACCTCTATACAGTCTGATAATGACCAGCCTTTAATAGTCAAATCACCCAAGCAGTTTCTCAGGCTCTTGGGATTCAGTGAAACCTTTATATCCTTTAGCATCCTCAATCTTCAGGAAATGTAGAATGGACTAATGGTCTTTTAAAAACACACCTCACCAAGCTCAGTCCCCGACATAAAAAGGACTAGACAATACTTCTACCACTTTCCCTTCTCAGAATTCAGGCCTGTCCTTGGAATGCTAGAGGCGACTGCCCATTTAAGCTCCTGTATAGGCACTCCTTTTTATTAGGTCCCAGTCTCATTCCCGACACCAGCCCACCTTGAACTGCACCCCAAAAACTTAGAGCCTAAAAACTCACCAACCAAGCAAGTAATTATGCTGACCCCCCCCCCCTTAGGCTCTCTCTAATTAGCTGTCCTAGGTCCTCCCAATTCTTAGTCCTTTAATACCTGTTTTTTCTCCTTTTCTTATACAGACCTTGTGTCTTCCATTTAGTTTTTCAGTTCATACAAAACCGCATCCAGGCCATCACCAATCATTCTATGTGACAAATGCTCCTTCTAACGACCCCATAATATCACCTTTTACCACAAGATCTCCCTTCAGCTTAATCTCTCCCACTCTAGGTTCCCACACCACCCCAATCCCACTTGAAGCAGCCCTGAGAAACATCGCCCATTCTTTCTCTCCATACCACCCCCCAAAAACTTTTGCTGCCCCAACACTTCAACACTATTTTGTCTTATTTTTCTTAATATAAGAAGGCAGGAATGTCAGGCCTCTGAGCCCAAGCCAAGCCATCGCATTCCCTGAGACTTGCACATACATGCCCAGATGGCCTGAAGTAACCAAAGAATCACAAAAGAAGTGAAAATGCCCTGCCTGCCTTAACTGATGACATTCCACCACAGAAGAAGTGAAAATGGCCAGTCCTTGCCTTAAGTGATGACATTACCTTGTGAAATTCCTTTTCCTGGCTCATCCTGGCTCAAAAGCTCCACCACTGAGCACCTTGTGACCCCCTACTCCTGCCCTCCAGAGAACAACCCCCCTTTGACTGTAATTTTCCTTTACCTACCCAAATCCTATAAAACGGCCACACTTCGCTCTCTTTTCGGACTCAGCCCACCTGCACCCAGGTGATTAAAAAGCTTTATTGCTCACACAAAGCCTGTTTGGTGGTCTCTTCACACGGACGTGAATGACACCACTTTGACGGCTTTCTTGCCTCTACCAGGACAAACTCAGTTATCTCTTTTCTGAATTTTCCTGGTACTTTTACTCTGAATATACTGCTTAATTAACATTCTGCCTTGTACCTAGGACTAACACACTAAACTCCCAGAAGACAAAGTAGGAGAATACAATAACAGGATATAAAATTTTAACAGCCAAGTTAGAATGAATTTATGGGTGACCTTTATTGGGCAAAAGAAAATGTTGTTAGTGTAAGATTTAGGGGTGTAGTGACCAAGGCGTAAACTAGGATGGCAGCAATGAAAGGGAAGAGTCCCGAGTAACATGGGAAACATTTACACTGCATGTTTCACATGTCCGTGTGAAAAGATCACCAAACAGGGTGTGTGTGAGCAACATGGCTGTTTATTTCACCCGGGTGCAGGCGGGCTGAGTCCGAAAAAGGAGTCAGCAAAGGGTGGTGGGATTATCATTGGTTCTTACAGGTTTTGGGACAGGCGGTGAAGTTAAGAGCAATGTTTTGGGGACAGGGGGTGAAGCTCAACAAGTACATTCCCAAGGGTGGGGAGAATTACAAAGAAACTTCTTAAGAGTTGGGTAGATTACAAAGTGCATCGATCAGTTAGGGTGAGCAGAAACAAATCACAATCCGTTAAGTTATTTTCACTTCTGTGGATCTTCAGTTGCTTCAGGCCATCTGGATGTATACATGCAGGTCACTGGGGATATGATGGCTTAGCTTGGGTTCAGAGGCCTGACACTGAAGGCTTGCATTTGGGCTTTTATTAGCTTTAACAACGAGGTATCTACACCTGGACAGTTTCACAAACACCCATTTTAAAACATTCCAGCTACCATCTCAAAACTCTCTCAAAACTCAGGGTCTCACTGGAAGAGAAAGTGACTCCACCTAGAATTCCTCAGGGAGACATTCACTTCCATCATTGGCTGACCACGAGCTTTAGACAGCCTCTACTGCACCCGCATACCAAGGACACCACATCCACATCAGCCAACAAGTCATAAATAGCCTTGGAAATACGTGGAAAGGTCAAATTTACGTAAGCAATTAAATTCTCTTTTAAATTTTAAGGAAACACAAACATGCCTTTGCTATAGTTAAGGCATTTGAGAGCAAAATGTATTAATACTTTGAATCCGCCAAGCAGACACAATCTGGGTTTGACCGTTCTCTGCGGGTGAAAGTGAAGGCTGAGCACGGGGCCGCTCTCCTTCCAAGTCCCAGCCGCGCCCTCTCACCCAGTTTCCCATCCTGCACCGTGCCGCACGTCCCCCACCATTCAGCGCCACCCGGCCCTCCCAGCCCCGCCCCGTCCTTCTCCTCCGCCCTGGCTCTCTCTCCGCGCTAGTATCAGCCTCGGCGTCCCACAGAGAAGGCAAGACGTGGGCAGGCAGAGAACCAGACCAGGCTTATCAGGGATTGCCGGAAGAGGGGATGCAACCCCTCCCCAGGTCGCACCCACGACGCAGGCAAGGGTCATGGAGCATGCGTTGAATACCCCGGCCGGCGACCGCTCCCACCCCGACGGCTCTCACCCGGCCTGGCGCAGTGCCCCCTCCTTCCGCTGCCCAGCCGCCTCTTCCCGCCCCGCCCCGCCCCATCCCGCCCACGGGCCCCAGTGGGCGGGACCAGCGGAGTCCGGCGCTGGGGGAGTCTGTCAAGGCCGTGACCCGTGTAATATTGTCCTAGTGGCCGAACGGGAGCCAACATGGCAGCGGGTTTCGGGCGATGCTGCAGGGTGAGAGAGAGCCCAGCGGTGCGGTAGGGGCAGGGACATGGATATTGTGTGGGAGCACGGGGCCCTGGACCAAAAATAGGTGCGGCCGGGAGGAGTGGGAAGTCGGGTTGAGGAAGGAGCTTGCCTGCCTAGGGGTCCCCACCTGCTTTCACGCCTCCTACCACCGGACGGAATGTAGCCTGGCGTTTCATTTTCCGTATCCTCCCGTCAGCCGACCCCGTTATAGCCGGCATCCTCTCTTTAGAATATCGTTTTTCTTTCTCTGGTAAACCCTCCAAATATTTACCCCGGGAATCCCACCTTTTCCCGAAGTGACCCGGTCTCTGTGTCAGAACCACGGGAAAAATGAAAATGGAGCAGCTACTCCTTGAGATACTTAATATGTTTAGTAAGCTTTTCGTTGTGTAATATGGTGGAGGACGCTTCCACGTTGCTTACTGGGAAAAAAAAGTAAAAGAAAAAACCTACCGCAGGATTTTATGTGAACTTGTCTGTATATTCTAGTATTGGGTCTTAACAGATTCTAAATAAGTTTGTCATTAGATGCACTTTGGTATCTTAAATATTCTTGACATGTTCACACGACTGCCATTTAGATGTCACTTAAAATTAAGTTAAAGTTATGTCTTTGACCAAAAAAGCTGAGGTTTTAGAATAATCCTAAAGAATTGCTGCCCATATTTTACTGCTGTTATTCAAGTTAATGTGCAGTGAAGGCAGAAATTGGGGGATTTCAGCTATTTTTAACTCCAACACCAGAAAAGCAGATTTCTGAACCTTCCAAGGAAGGATCTAAAAAAAAACCTGATAGAGAAAACGTATACCCTTTTTCTCTTCTTTAACCCATAAAACTAACACTTTTATATTCCCAAGAAATGCACAAAAGTGTTCAATTCTAATGGTGCTATTTCGATATTTGGAATTTCATTGTTCTAGACAGAGAGCCCGAGGTAATAAAACCAATATTTATATAGCATTAGGCTTTCAAAACATTATCTTACTTTAATCGTTCAAAAATACGCAGTGAGATTAGCACCATTTTTCGGTTTTGAACGGAAGCTATAAGCAGTTTGTAACCTGTCTACGGCCATAAATATAGTTGTGGAACCTAGATTCAAATTCAGCAATTGTAACTCCAGATCCCTTCCTATTTCTGTTTTCTATTTGTAAACCACCTCTCTAACTGGCTAACTTTGTTGTGTAATTAACAGGTTGATGGACATTGTATTCTGGTAATAACAACCTTTGCACTTTGTTCTATGTAACATATTTTCCTGAACAGTCACATGTGAAGTGACTTTTTCCCTATTTAAAGTCTCTCGGTTGGCCGGACGCGGTGGCTCACGCCTGTAATCCTAGCACCTTGGGAGGACTAGGCGGGTGGATCACTCAAGGCCAGAAGTTCAAGACCAGCCTGGCCAACGTAGGGAAACCCTGTCTTTACTGAAAATACGACAAATTATCTGGGCATGGTAGCATACGCCTGTAATCCCAGGAGACTGAGTTTGCAATGAGCAGCGATCTCCCCACTGCATTCCAGCCTGGGTGACAGAGGGAGACTGTCAAAAAAAGTCTCTCAGTAGACCATTTAACCTGGTTTGAGTTCTGACTTTTGTGCATGGGATTTAAAAACGCATTTATAATAGTCAGTTTTTTTGTTCTGATTTTTGCAGAATGTTTTCCTTTGTTATGAAACCTAGTGACCAATTAGGATACTAACAGAAAGATGAGTATAGCAAGGTGGTTAATAGCATGGGCTCTTGATAGTAAATGTTAGAATCCTGGTTGCACTAATAGTAGAGTGACTTTGCCTAATTTAGTTGACTTTCTGAGCCTTCGTTTCTTCACATGCGAAAATGGAATAAAAGTAATAACTTAATCCTAGACTTGACCTAGGATTCAGTGAATTAACCTGTGTAATGTGACTGTAAATCAGAGTAGATTTGGTCTGTGACTGCTGGACAATAAGGACCAGAGAAACGGTTTCACTTTTTTTTTTTTTTGAGACGAAGTCTTGCTCTGTCACCCAGGCTGGAATGCAGTGGTGCAGTTTAGGCTCACTGCAACCTCCGCCTCCTGGGTTCAAGTGATTCTCCTGCCTCAGCCTCCCGAGTAGCTGGGACTACATACCACCACACCTGGCTTACTTTTGTATTTTTAGTAGAAATGGGGTTTCACCATGTTGGTCAGACTGGTCTCAAACCCCTGACCTTGTGATCCACCCACCTCAGCCTCCCAAAGTGCTGGGAATTACACGCATGAGCCACCCCGCCTGGCACTGTTTCACTTTCAAAATAAAATGAATGAAGTTGCAAAGATAATGCGAGTTTTCATACTCTGTGTGTGTGTGTGTGTTTTTTAATTGTAGTATGAGTTATGTTATTTTGAAAGCGCTGTTTCAGTTACAAATATTTGATACTCTTAATTATATTGTCACCTTCCATGTAGGAAATCCTCTGTATAAGTTGAAATTGTCATCTACAAAGACAGTTTCTTTTTACGGATTTTGAAAAACATAAGAATTTAAATGTAGAAACTTTAGTATATTTTTCAGCTTCTCTTTTAGTGTCTCAGCTTGTTAAAATTGCCAGATAGTTCAGTTAAACTCTTTTACAGTGAAAATTGTGTAATTTTGGCTGTCCTGACACCTTTATACAGGAACACCATTGTGGTTCCCAGTTTGGCGGCTTTAATAAATGCAGATTTTTACTTTTGTATCCATTAAGCTGTCATGAATATAAAAATGGGTTGCAAAACAATAATATATGTATATTTGATTGTTTGTTTCTTTATATGTTCCTTTGAAGAAATATGAGTATATTTCACATCCTAAGACAAGAAATGTATTAGTAGTTTAGAACAGGGATGGCAAACGTTTTTTGAAAAGGAGCAGATAGTACATGTTTTTGGCTTTGTGAACCATATGGTCTCTGTGGTAACTACTTAGATCTGCTGTGAAAGCAGCAATAGACAGCATGATGTGGCTGCCATAGTTTGGTGACTCCTTGCTCAGAACATTGTAAGAATGCCTGTAGACAGCAGAAAATACAGAACATGGTTTTATGCTAATTTGTTTTGTTAGAGTGGGGTATCCTAAAAAATGAGATCCTCTGAGGGGAAGGTTCCCAGAGGCATGCATGGGAGGCTCACAGGGACAGGGTATCAAAGTTGATGGACTAGGCAACTCTTGAACACAGTATGTTCACTTTCCACCTATCGTTCTCCCCACCCCAACTCTCCAACCATCAAAGTCCTAGGAGCTTATAAGATACCCAGAATAGTGGTCCTACATCTACTAGTACCCTTGACTGTTGTTTGTCCTAAATCCTCCACTTCAGTAGTGTAAATACCACTGACTTTATTTTCATTACTTTTTAAAAACATCTCCTCTGTCATAGGAGTTTATATAACTGGTAATTGACTTATTTAAATTATGATTGAAGGCATTTAAATAGTGATGACTTTAAAAACTATGAGTATGGTCAAACAAGTTGTTGTACTCACTTACAATTATGAGTAGTCTCTTATCTGATTAATGTTTAACTTATCAAATTTATTTTAATAAAACTGTTCTTTACAGGTCCTGAGAAGTATTTCTCGTTTTCATTGGAGATCACAGCATACAAAAGCTGATCGACAGCGTGAACCAGGATTAGGATTTAGTTTTGGTATATGTTCTGTTCTATCTTTTGACTTTAAACTTACACATAAGAAGCTCTGTCTATGTATTTGTTTGGACTACGTTTGTAAATAAACTTAATAATGTCTTTCAATGAGTAGGACCAGTCCACCGTCCACAGATCGTTCCCAGTAACTCACACCCATTTTTCCTGATCTCATTTTCTTCCTCAGTATACTATACTATACATTAAATCTGTGTTAGTAGTATACATACACTTATATTCCTTCCTTTTTTTCTAAGTGTTTAGCCCAAAATCAATGAGATTTACTGATATATATGAATAGTCTTCAACTTACATATCTGAATGCCACAAATACATTTTAAAACACTTGTTAGATTACAATGCTAGGTGCCTGGTAATAAGCTAAAGCTTGTTTTTGCTATAATATTATCCACATTGCAATTTTGGTACTATTAGGTGAAGTTCTCACTCCTGGCACCAGGGAGCCATGTAGTTGTTGTAAGGAAAAGGAATATGATTTTTCTTCCTCCCTCCTCTATAAAATGAAAACCACAGTCAAAAAATGTGAAATAATAATATCTATCTTTGGCATTCTTGGCCATCTAAAGTGCTTCTTCAAAATTTTTATTTTTTCTCTAGTTAAAAACCATTTACTCAATTCATTTGGTCTCAGAAAATAGTTAAAGGCAGCTGAGATAATCACAGCTAGGTACAAATGACAGTCTCAAAGCTCTCCAGAGTTATTGTTTGTTTTTATTGTTATGTTTTTAAAGATTTTTCCCTTTTCTTTATAAAGTTTTTTTTGGTTTTTTAACCAGAATTTGATGAAGTTTTTCTTTTTCTTTTTCTTTCAGAAAAGATGAGGTTTCATTGTCTCATTATGTTGCTCAGGCCGATCTTAAACTCCTGGGCTCAAGCAGTTCTCTTATTTCAGCCTTCCAAAGTGCCGGGATTATAGGCATGAGCCACTGCACCCAGACCAAATGAAAATTTGCTGTGTTTTGTTTTTTTCTTTCTGTGACCTCTAGCCAAAGACTGAATGAAAATTTTCTTTTCTTTTCTTTCTTTCTTTTTTTTTTTTTTTTTTTTTTTGAGACAGAGTCTCACTGTGTCACCCACACTGCTGTGCAGTGGCTCACTGCAACCTCTGCCTCCCAGGTTCAAGTGATTCTCCTGCCTTAACCTCCTGAGTAGCTGGGACTACAGGTGTGGGTCACCTTGCCTGGCTAATTTCTATATTTTTAGTAGGGATGGGGTTTTGCCATGTTGGCCAGGCTGGTCTCAAACTCCTGATGACAAGTGATCCACCCTCCTCTGCCTCCCAAAGTTCTGGGATTGCAGGCATGAACTACTGTGCCCAGCCTGAATGAAAATTTTCTTTTTTTTTTCTTTTTCTTTTTTCTCTTTCTGTAACCCAAGACTAAATGAAAGTTTTCAAGCAGTATGAGGATAGCTGTTTGGGATGGTCTTCCTCTGTCGCTCAGGCTGGATTGCAGTGGCTCCATCTGGGCTTATTGCAACCTCTGCCTCCTGGGTTCAAGCGATTCTCTTACCTCAGCCACCCAAGTAGCTAAGATTACAGGTGTGGGCCACCACGCCTGGCTAATTTTTATATTATTAGTAGAGATGATGTTTCGCCATGTTGGCAACGCTAGTCTCGAACTCCTGGCCTCAAGTGATCCACCCGTCTTGGCCTCCCAAAGTGGGATATGGGCATGAGCCACCATGCCCAGCCAGGGCAGTGGATCTTACTGAGATAATTAGCATTAATTTGGTATGATTGCTTGTCACTTACAATTTGACTCTCACTAGTAAGAGCCTCGCAGGAGAAATCTATGGTGGTTCACTGAGTGACAGAGGATGAGATAGATATAATTGTTTGGGAGGGAGATTTTGAAGTTCAATAAGGGTCTATTCCTTGAACCAGTTGCATCTGGTTCTTTATCTGTAAAATGAAAATATCTATAACACAGAATTTCTATGAAGATTAAGTTATATGCTGTATTTAAAGCCCCTAGCACATAGTGACTGGATCAAAGTAGTTTCTCAATAAATAATACATAATACATCCTTGTCATTTCTACTTTTTTTTTTTTTTTTTTTAAAGAGGGTTTCACTCTGTCATCCAAGTTGGAGTGCAGTGATATAGCTCACTGCAACCTTGACTTCTGGGGCTCCATGGATTCTCCGGCCTCAGCCTCCTGAGCAGTTAGGACAACAGGTCCATGTCACCACACCCAGCTGATTTTTGAAATTTTTAAATGTTTTGTAGAGACAGGATCTTGCTATGTCACCCAGGCTGGCCCCAAACTCCTGGCCTCAAATGGTTCGCCTTCCTCAGTCTCCCAAAATTCTGGGATTATAGGTGTGAGCCATCATGCTCAGACTTTCTCTACCCTCTCTCTACCTACAAGATTGATATCAACTGGCACCAATCTTAGAAGTAAAGCTGTGATATAGAGAACACTGGACTGAAACTCTATACTTCCACTAATTCATTGTAAGACTGATATTAGAATTTCCTTACTCTGCATTGGTTTATCTATAAAAGGATTTGATCTTATGCTCTTCAATTCAGCACCAAAATTCTATTTTTATGTATTATTTCTCACTCCCCATACAATGATTACTATAGTCTTAAACATTCTTTTCTGCATTTGCTCTCATTTTTCTTGCTTGAAATACCCTGTTATCTCTTTTAAATTTTACCTAATCTTTGACGTTAGATGCAACCACATTAAAACACAAGGATACCATGGATTTGAAAAGATGCGGTTAGCAATTGGCTACTCTCCTCAATCAAGCCATCATACTAATTTCATTAATTTTAAAACAATAATCCCTTATTTTATGTAAACAAATTGTTGGACACCATTTATTAGCATTGCAGCAGGATTTTGTTACTATCTTTTGAAAAACCTTTCTACCACTTTTACCAGTTGCTTTGTGCTAATTTATAAACTTTGAGTTTAAAGGAGCAGTAAGCCTAGGCTTGGTGTCTCATGCTTGTAATCCCAGCACTTTAGGAGACCAAGGCAGGAGGATTGCTTGAGGCCAGGAGTTCAAGACCAGCCTGGCATCATAGTGAGACCCCGTCTCTATGGAAAAAAAAAAAAAAAGAAAAAGAAAAAATGAAACAGATAGGGTGAGGTGGCTCCCAGCACTTTGGGAGGCCGAGATGGGAGAATCACTTGAGCCTAGGAGTTCCAGACCAGCTTGGACAACATGGCAAAACCCTGTCTCTATAAAAATTACAAAAATTAGCCAGATATGGTGGCATGTGCCTGTGGTCCCAGCTAGTTGAGAAGCTGTGCTGGGAAGATCATTTGAGGCCAGGAGGTCGAGGCTACAGTGAGTCATAATTGTACCACTGCACTCCAGCCTGAGTGACAAAATGAGACTGTCTCAAAAAGAAAAAAAAAAAAGGTAAAATTAAAATCATGACGATGATATTCTTATATGACACTTTGAAATAAGTTGTATTGCTTTATGTCACTGAATGTGTTTCATTTATTTCGTTAGATTGATTCTTGTCATCAGGGAGATGTCTTGCATATTAGTTTCCCTTCAGTGTCAGTAAACATTTGATAAATTGGCTTAGGAACTAATAATAAGTTAAACATTTGTTATATCACCAATTGGAAAAGAAAAACTCACTTGAGCTCTACAGGTTAATATCTGTTACTCATTTGTAAAAGTTAGAAATCTCACCTATTTCCTTTAGCATTTGTGTTGACATAGGTTTATTTATATTGTGTAGTGAACTCTTGATTAGTCAAAAAATGCACTGTAGTCTGACTTTTCTGATTAATCAAGGATTTAAGTCCCCACAGTAAATACACATTTCTACATACTGACTTCATGGGACATTTTTCCTTAACTTGTTATCCAGTTTTAATCTTTTCTAAATAACTTTCCCTTAGAGTTCACTGAACAGCAGAAAGAATTTCAAGCTACTGCTCGTAAATTTGCCAGAGAGGAAATCATCCCAGTGGCTGCAGAATATGATAAAACTGGTGAAGTAGGTGTATACATTTTAAAGAGGGAAAAATCTTTTACATTTTTTACAAGATTATGTAATCAAACTGTTTGGATATCAAAATATATTTTAATTCAGTTCTTTTCTTTTTCTTCTAGTATCCGGTCCCCCTAATTAGAAGAGCCTGGGAACTTGGTTTAATGAATCCGCACATTCCAGAGAATTGTGGTGAGCTTTCTTTATATTTTTAATACTAGAATGCATATGAGTAAGAAAAATTGTGGAACTCTACTCAGTCATTGTTTTCAAATATTTCTTGCCATTAAATGACTTTCTAGCTTTGTCATCCTGCTCAGACTACAGTGTTTGCCCACTTTTGGAAGCTTGTACTCTATACTTAGATGCATTTTTCCTTCTTCTAAATGGTTCCAACCTTAATTTGCACCTAAACCTCAGTAACTTCTGTTTCTAGAGTTGGTCAATTTGTTGCATTTTATTCCTATCTTCTATATTACATTTTATTGAGTCTTTTTTGTGAACTATCATTCTTTTCCTCAGACCCAGTTTGAGTTGAATTGAGTTTTAACACAATCAAGTTAGAACAGGAATATAGGTTCAAATTACAAATAGTAAAATAATTTTTTGAAAATTTTAGAACTTACTTTAGAAAAGTATAATTTCTTCTTGTGCCAGCCAGAACACGTGTAGATATTATATTGCAAATTTCCTTTTAAAACAAATTTTGGTCATACTGAAAGCAATTAAAATAGTTTACCTTTATTTCTATTGTGATGTACTACATATTATAATGTGTTAAAACATTTTGATACTGTAGGAGGTCTTGGACTGGGAACTTTTGATGCTTGTTTAATAAGTGAAGAATTGGCTTATGGATGTACAGGGGTTCAGACTGCTATTGAAGGAAATTCTTTGGGGGTAAGTGACTTAGAAAATTAACTACCTAACTGTGAGCTCTTGTTAATGAGATAGTTACTCCTGAAGAAGCTGGATTTTTAGAAGGAAAAAGCAGAGTCAGTTACTACTAGGTAAGGTTAGTGGGTAAACACAGTTTTCTTTAAAGAGGAACACAAGATTCAGCATTGAAGCCTGGAGTTCTGATTTCAAGGCTTGATCACTCTGCTTGTTGTCTCTAGTATTTGGACTTCTGACAGTCCTTCTGGAGAAACTGTATACTTTGGCTGCAGCGTCAGTGGCAATTCTTAGGTAAAGCCAAGGGCTAAATTCAGCATTCAGGAACAGGATTGGGATGGCTTGCTGCCACTACTGGCAGTACTGAAATTTAGCAAGCAATTTTTTTTAATTATTATTATACTTTAAGTTCTAGGGTACATGTGCACAACATGCAGTTTTATTACATATGTATGTATATATGTGCCATGTTTGTGTGCTGCACCCATTAACTCATCATTTACATTAGGTATATATCCTAATGCTATCCGTCCCTCCTACCACCACCCCACGACAGGCCCTGGTGTGTGATGTTCCCCTTCCTGTGTCCAAGTGTTCTCATTGTTCAGTTCCCACCTACGAGTGAGAACATGCAGTGTTTGGTGTTCTGTCCTTGTGATAGTTTGCTCAGAGTGATGGTTTCCAGCTTCATCCATGTCCCTGCAAAGGACACGAACTCATCCTTTTTTATGGCTGCATAGTATTCCATGGGTATATGTGCCACATTTTCTTAATCCAGTCTATCATTGATGGACATTTGGGTTGGTTCCAAGTCTTTGCTATTGTGATTAGTGTGATAAACATATGTGTGATAAACATAGGTGTGCATGTGTCTTTATAGTAGCATTATTTATAATCTTTTGGGTATATACCCAGAAATGGAATGGCTGGGTCAAATGGTATTTCTAGTTCTAGATCCTTGAAGAATCACCACACTGTCTTCCACAATGGTTGAACTAGTTTACAGTCCCACCAACAGTGTAAAAGTGTTCCTATTTCTCCACATCCTCACCAGCACCTGTTGTTTCCTGACTTTTTGATGATTGCCATTCTAACTGCTGTGAGATGGTATCTCATTGTGGTTTTGATTTTCATTTCTCTAACGACCAGTGATGATGAGCATTTTTTCATGTGTCTGTTGACTGCATAAATATCTTCTTCTGAGAAGTGTCTGTATTTATACTTTGCCCAATTTTTGATGGCGTTGTTTGATTTTTTTCTTGTAAATTTGTTTAAGTTCTTTGTAGATTCGGGATATTAGCCCTTTGTCAGATGGGTAGATTGCAAAAATTTTCTCCTATTCTGTAGGTTGCCTGTTCACTCTGATGATAGTTTCTTTTGCTGTGCAGAAGCTCTTTAGTTTAATTAGATCCCATTTGTCAATTTTGGCTTTTGTTGCCATTGCTTTTGGTATTTTAGTCATGAAGTCCTTGCCCATGCCTATGTCCTGAATGGTATCGCCTAGGTTTTCTTCTGGGGTTTTTATGGTTTTAGGTCTGACATTAAAGTCTTTAATCCATCTTGAATTAATTTTTGTATAAGGTGTAAGGAAGGTATCCAATTTCAGCTTTCTACATATGGTTAGCCAGTTTTCCCAACATCATTTATTAAATAGGGAATCCTTTCCCCGTTTCTTGTTTACAGTCCCACCAACAGTGTAAAAGTATTACTATTTCTCCACATCCTCTCCAGCACCGGTTGTTTCCTGTTTTTGTCAGGTTTCTTGCTTTTGTCAGGTTTCCTGTTTCTTGTTTATGTCAGGTTTGTCAAAGATCAGATGGTTGTAGATGTGTGGTATTATTTCCGAGGGCTGTATTCTGTCCCATTGGTCTATATCTCTGTTTTGGTACCAGTACCATGCTGTTTTGTTTACTGTAGCCTTGTAGTATAGGTTGAAGTCAGGTAGCGTGATGCCTGCAGTTTTGTTCTTTTGGCTTAGGATTGTCTTGGCAATACAGGCTCTTTTTTGGTTCCATATGAACTTTAAAGTAGTTTCTTAATTCTGTGAAGAAACTCATTGGTAGCTTGATGGGGATGGCATTGAATCTAAAAATTACCTTGGGCAGTATGGCCATTTCCACAATATTGATTCTTCCTATCCATAAGCATGGAATGTTCTTACATTTCTTTGTGTCCTCTTTTATTTCGTTGAGCAGTCGTTTCTAGTTTCCCTTGAAGAGGTCCTTCACATCCCTTGTAAGTTGGATTCCTAGGTATTTTATTCTTTTTGTAGCAATTGGGAATGGGAGTTCATTAATGATTTGGCTCTCTGTCTGTTATTGGTGTATAGGAATGCTTGTGACTTTTGCACATTGATTTTTTATCCTGAGACTTTGCTGAAGTTGCTTATCAGCTTAAGGAGATTGGGGCTGAGATGATGGGGTTTTCTAAATATACAACCATGTCATCTGCAAACAGGGACAATTTGACTTCCTCTTTTCCTAATTGAATACCCTTTATTTCTTTCTCCTGCCTTATTGCTTTGGCCAGAATTTCCAACACTATGTTGAATAGGAGTGGTGAGAGAGGGCATCCCTGTCTTGTGCCAGTTTTCAAAGGGAATGCTTCCAGTTTTTGCCCATTCAGTATGATATTGGCTGTGGGTTTGTCATAAATAGCTCTTATTATTTTGAGATACGTTCCATCAATACCTAATTTATTGAGAGTTTTTAGCATGAAGGGCTGTTGAATTTTGTTGAAGGCCTTTTCTGCATCTATTGAGATAATCATGTGGTTTTTGTCTTTGGTTCTGTTTATACGATGGATTACATTTATTGATTCATGTATGTTAAACCAGCCTTGCATCCCAGGGATGAAGCCGACTTAATCATGGTGGATAAGCTTTTTGATGTGCTGCTGGATTCGGTTTGCTAGTATTTTCTTGAGGATTTTTGCATCAATGTTCATCAGGGGTATTGGTCTAAAATTCTGTTTTTGTTGTTGTGTCTCTGCCAGTCTTTACTATCAGGATGATACTGGCCTTATAAAATGAGTTAGAGAGGGTTTCCTCTTTTTGTATTGATTGGAATAGTTTCAGAAGGAATAGTACCAGCTCCTCTTTGTACCTCTGGTAGAATTTGGCTGTGAATCCATCTGGTCCTGGACTTTTTTTGGTTGGCAGGCTATTAATTATTGCCTCAATTTCAGAGCCTGTTGTTGGTATATTCAGGGATTCAACTTCTTCCTGGTTTAGTTTTGGGAGGGTGAATGTGTTCCGGAATTTATCCATTTCTTCTAGATTTTCTAGTTTATTTGGGAAGAAGTGTTTATAGTATTCTCCGATGGTAGTTTGTATCTCTGTGGGGTCGGTGGTGATATCCCCTTCATCATTTTTTATTGCATCTATTTGATTCTTCTCTCTTTTCTTCTTTATTAGTCTTACTAGCAGTCTATCAATTTTGTTGATCTTTTCAAAAAAATCAGCTCCTGTATTCATTGATTTTTTTGAAGGGTTTGTGTTTAGTGCTTCCTTAAGGAGCTCTTGTAAGGCAGGCCTGGTGGTGACAGAATCTCTCAGCATTTGCTTGTCTGTAAGGGATTTTATTTCTCCTTCACTTATGAAGCTTAGTTTGGCTGGCTATGAAATTCTGGGTTGAAAATTCTTTTCTTTAAGAATGTTGAATATTGGCCCCCAGTCTCTTCTGGCTTGTAGGGTTTCTGCTGAGAGATCCACTGTTAGTCTGATGGGCTTCCCTTTGTAGGTAACCCGACCTTTCTCTCTGGCGGTACTTAACATTTTTCCCTTCATTTCGACCTTGGTGAATCTGACAATTATGTGTCTTAGAGTTGCTCTTCTTGAGGAATATATTTGTGGTGTTCTCTGTATTTCCTGAATTTGAATGTTTTCCTGCCTTGCTAGGTTGGGGAAGTTCTCCTGGATAATATCCTGAAGAGTATTTTCCAACTTGGTTCCATTCTGTTCTCCCCATCACTTTCAGGTACACCAATCAGACGTAGATTTGGTCTTTTCACATAGTCCCATATTTCTTGGAGGCTTTGTTCGTTTCTTTTTACTCTTTTTCTCTAAACTTCTCTTCTCACTTCATTTCATTCATTTGATCTTCAATCACTGATACCTTTTCTTCCACTTGATCAAATCAGCTACTGAAGCTTGTATGTGCATCACGTACTTCTCATGCCATGGTTTTCAACTCCATCAGGTCATTTAAAGTCTTCTCTATGCTGTTTATTCTAGTTAACCATTCATCTAATCTTTTTTCAAGGTTTTTAGCTTCTTTGTGATGGGTTCAAACATCCTTCTTTAGCTCAGAGTAGTTTGTTATTACCAATCTTCTGAAGCCTTCTTCTCTTAACTCGTCAAAGTAATTCTCCATCTAGCTTTGTTCCGTTTTTGGTGAGGAGCTGCGTTCCTTTGGAGGAGAAGAGGCACTCTGAGTTTTAGAGTTTTCAGCTTTTCTGCTGTGGTTTCTCCCCATCTTTGGGCTTTTATCTAACTTTGGTCTTTGATGATGGTGACATACAGATGGGGTTTTGGTGTGGATGTCCTCTCTGTCTGTTAGCTTTCCTTCTATTGGTCTGGACCCTCAGCTGCAGGTCTGTTGGAATTTGCTGGAAGTCCACTCCAGATCCTGTTTGCCTCGGTATCACCAGCGGAGGCTGCAGAACCGCAAATATTGTAGAACGGCAAATGTTGCTGCCTGATCATTCCTCTGGAAGCTTCATCTCATAGGGGCACCCAGCCATATGAGGTGTCAGTCGGCCCCTACTGGGAGGTGCCTCCCAGTTGGCTCCACTTGAGGAGGCAGTCAGTCAGTTCTCAGATCTCAAAATCTATGCTGGTAGGACCACTACTCTGTGGAAAGCTGTCAGACAAGGACGTTTAAGTCTGCAGAAATTTCTGCTGCCTTTTGTTCAGCTATGCCCTGCCCCCAGAGGTGGAGTCTACAGAGGCAGGCAGGCCTTCTTGAACTGAGGTGGGTTCCACTGAGATGCAGCTTCCCTTTCCCGGCCTCTTTGTTTACCTACTCAAGCCTCAGCAATGGCGGGCGCCCCTCCCCCAGCCTCGCTGCTACATTGCAGTTTGATCTCAGATTGCCGTGCTAGCAGTTAGCAAGGCTCCGTGGGCATGGACCTTCCAAGCCAGGTTCGGGATATAATCTCCTGGCATGCTGTTAGCTAAGACCTTTGAGAAAGAACAGTATTAGGGTGAGAGTGACCCAATTTTCCAGGTTCAGTCTATCACGGCTTCCCTTGGCTAGGAAAGGGAATTCCCTGACCCTTTGCACTTCCTGGTTGAGGCAATACCTCACCCTGCTTTGGCTCACAGTCCATGGGCTGCACCCACTGTCCGACAAGCCCTAGTGAGATGAACCCAGTACCTCAGTTGGAAATGCAGAAATCACCCATCTTCTGCATCACTCACGCTGGGAGCTGTAGACTGGAGCTGTTCCTATTCGGCCATCTTGGAACCTCGCCTTGTTTTGTTTTGTTTTGTTTGAGACAGAGTCTCGCTGTGTTGCCCAGGCTGGAGTGCAGTGGCATGATCTCGGCTCACTGGAAGCTCCACCTCCCGGGTTCATGCCATTCTCCTGTCTCAGCCTCTCGAGTAGCTGGGACTACAGGCGCCCACCACCATGCCCGGCAATTTTTTTTTTTTTTTTTGGAATTCTAGTAGAGATGGGGTGTCACCATGTTGGTCAGAATGGTCTCCATCTCTAGATCTCATAATTCACCCGCCTTGGCCTCCCAAAGTGCTGTGATTACAGGCTTGAGCCATTGCATCCAGCCTAACAAGTAGTTCTTAGGTCTGATCATATATACCGTGTCATATATTCTAAATATAATTTTTTATTTGTGCATTTTAGTGTAGTAGATTTTCACAGATTATAATGCCACAGGTCCTACATATAACCTAATTTTATGAAAATACTTAGATTAGCATATTTATTTCCTCATTCTAACTTAGAGCCAAGGTATAGGCCAGTTCTTTGGACTTACCTCTTAGGTGAAAAGTAGTTCTTTTTTCATTTTGAATTATAACGTCTCTGAATTTACATATCCAATAAAAATGACTTGATTTTTTAATGTCAATTTTTTTGGGTAGCAAATGCCTATTATTATTGCTGGAAATGAGCAACAAAAGAAGAAGTATTTGGGGAGAATGACTGAGGAGCCGTTGATGTGTGTGAGTATGTGTAGCTGCTACTTTATTTCACACTTAAGGGAACAAAGGTGCTATTTCTCCTTTTCAGTCTATATGTATATACTGGGAGATATACCATTGAAACAAATGTTAGCGACGTATTATTGCAATGATGTTTCGAGGATGCCAAGAAAGTGTCATAACAGGCCGAGGGCTGTGGCTCATACCTGTAATCCCAGCACTTTGGGAGGCCGAGGGGGGCAGATTACTTGAGGCTAGGAGTTCAGCCTGGCTAACATGGTGAAACCCCGTCTCTACTGAAAATACAAAAATTAACCAGGTGTGGCGGTGCTTGCCTATAATCCTAACTACTCAGGAGGCTGAGGCATGAGAATCACTTGAACCTGGAAGATGGAGGTTGCAGTGAGCAGAGATCACACCACTGCACTGCTGCCTGGGCGACAGAGTGAGTGAGACTATCTCAAAAAAAAAAAAAAAACAAGTGTCATCATAATTTCCTTGCTTATTTCCAGGAGAAGAGAGATCTACTTGTGATGTCTTTGGGATGTCAAAAAGTGTCATAATAATCCCTTACTTCAGGAGAGAGAGATCTATTTAATGGAGCATTCTACACTTCAAGAACTGAGTCATTGTGTCAGGAAGTTCAGATTGAATGTAGGGCAATGTGTGTTTGAACTAGTAGTGTTTTGAATTAGTAAAAAATTAATGTTGGTTGGTTGTGGGGGCTCACGCCTGTAATCCCAGCACTTTGAGAGTGGGAGGCAGGTGGATCACCTGAGGTCAGGAGTTTGAGACCAGCGTAGCCACAATGGAGAAACCCCATCTCTACTAAAAATACAAAAATTAGCTGGATGAGGTGGCACTTGTCAGCTACTCGGGAGGCTGAGGCATGAGAATCTCTTGAACCCAGGAGGCAGAGGTTGCTAAGTAAAGATGGCAACACTGCACTCCAGCCTGGGCAACAGAGTGAGACTCTGTCTCAAAAAAAAAGCAGTTAATGTGGGCTGGGCATAGTGGCTCACACCTGTAATCTCAACACTTTGAGAGGCTAAGGCAGAATTGCTTGAGCCCAGGAGTTCAAGACCAGCCTGGGCAACACAGTGAGACTCTGTCTCTAAATAAATAAATAAATAAATAAAATTAATGTGAACCTGCAACTGAAGAAAGAGCAACGTATTTGTTGAATGACTGAATGACTTGGGAAGAATAGTTGTAGAGTTTATTTAAACCTCTGAAAACAACTCAACAAATTTTTAAATTAGATTTTTTTTAAAAGGTTGCACACACACACACACACACACGCACACACACACACAGGCTCTATTCTTAAACTGTTGTTTACCTAAGAATTTTTACTTCTTGTTTATTCAAACATATTTCAATCTAAGGTGTGGTTGTTATACTGAAATACAGTAGATTTATTAGTTTTGAGCAAATAATGAGAATTCATCTTAACAGAAAATAATACTTGAAAATAAATGATTTTTATTTCAGATACCTAAATTTCAAGCAAACTGTTTAATAAAGGCATTTGTACATATTTGCTAGGAAATTTGCAATTTTTTTAAACAATTGAGAGTTTAGCTAAACATTCTCACTATTGTCTATAAGAACTGTGTGAAACATCTAGATTGTTCTCCTGTAGAATATAGTCAGCTCTCCATATCCATGAGGGAATAGTTTAGGACCTGTTGTACTCCACATCAATATTTTTGGTTGCCAAGTCCCTTATACAAAATGTACAGTTAGCCCTTCGTATCTGTGGGTTTTGATCCACAGTTGGTTGAATTCCAAAACTCGTGGATGCCAAAGGCAAACTTTTAAAAAATTAAAATTTTATAACTTTTCTGATTATAAAATACTGAGTATAGAAATTTAGAAATGTGTTTAAAGTAGAACAAAAATGTCTGTTATCCCTCAGATATGGAGTTAATTATTATTACTTCCTTATTGTAGTGCCTACCAGATTTTTAGATATGTAATTGTGTTTGTAACAGTTAGCGCCCTATTATATACATGTAGTTTTATGTACTTCTTTATTTAACAACGTGAACATTTTCTTATGCCTTCCTTCTTTTTACATGCTGTAACAGTACTGCATAATTTGCTATCTAATGGATATGCTATAAATTATTTCACTGTTCTATACTGTTGAATGTTTAAACTCCTTGGGTTTTTACTTTAGAAAATAATGTTATGGTAAAAAATAATACAGAAAAAAATTTTTTTTAAAAATGATCAAATAAGAAGCCAAGAACAGGCCAGGCATGGTGGCTCATGTCTGTAATCCTAACACTTTGGGAAGAAGCCAAGGCAGGAAGACTGCTTGAGGCCAGGAGTTCAAGACCAGCCTGGACGTTGAGAGACTCTGCCACCAGTATATATATAATATATAGTATATGTTATATATACTATATATTATGTATATAAAATATACATTATATAATATATTGTATAATATGTAACATAGTGTATAATATATGTTATATAGTAATACTATAATATATAGTATTAGTATATATTATATATTAATGCTATATATTGTATATGTAATATATAGTATTACATAGTGTTATAAATACAATATGTTATATTGTATAATATATGCTATATATAATATAATATACATAAACTATATATTATATATAATTATATATTTTACATATTATAGTTATATATAATTATATAGTTATAAATATATAAATTATGTTGTATTATATTATATATACACAATATATAATTTATACATTGTATAAATTATATGTATAATATATATACTGTATGTAGTATATATACTATATAATATACTATATATGTATATTACTATGGAATATACTATATTATGTATAATTATATATAACAATATATAAAAAATATATATATATAAAACCAAAAAGGAAAAGAAAAAGAAGACAACAACTCCGAAGAACCAGTAGTGACAAGCCATTTTGTATAGAAAAAAACAGGCCCATTTACTTCACAAACTTTAAAAACTTCACTGTATTATGAAACAGAAAGATGTCTAATGTCATATTTCAGGGAAAAAAATACCTTAAAGTTGTTTAAAACAAAATTTTGGTACTTAAAAGGGGCATCTTTTATGGACAACTCTTTATTTTGTTATGATGCTGAATACATCATCAAATCTCCAGGTAGTGGAGTAATCTAGTTCAGTTAACTTGAGTGACACCTGAATCCCTTCTACAGAATCCCTGTCAAAAGCCATCTAGCTGACATGTTTTTATACCTCAGGTGCCTGGGAATCAACACCTTCTGAAGCAGCATCATTTGCGAGCATCTGTTATCATTAGACAAATATTTTAGATTACATGATGCTGAAGCACAGAACCTGTCATTTTTTTAAATAATTTTACCAGTGCATACTATAATAGGTGTTCAATAAATGTTAGAGTGATTTCACTGTAGTTTTCTCTTGGCTATATTGGCTTTCAGATGTTTGAGTAAGTTATTTTTATTTATTTACTTTTTGAGATGGAGTCTTGCTCTGTTCCCCAGGTTGGAGTGCAGTGGTGCAATCTTGGCTCACTGCAACCTCTGCCTCCTGGGTTCAAGCGATTCTCCTGCCTCAGCCTCCCAAGTAGCTGGGACTACAGGTGCGTGCCACCACGCCTGGCTAATTTTTTGTATTTTTAGTAGAGGTGAGATTTCACTGTGTTAGCCAGGATGGTCTGTATCTCCTGACCTTATGATCTGCCCACCTTGGCCTCCCAAAGTGCTGGGATTGCAAGTGTGAGCCACCAAGCCCAGCCGAGTGTAGTTATTATTACTTATTTATTTATTTATTTATTTATTTTTTTCTGAAATGGAGTTGCACTCTGTCTTGTAGGCTGGAGTGCAGTGGCACCATCTCGGCTCACCTCCCAGGTTCAAGTAATTCTTCTTCCTCAGCCTCCCAAGAAGCTGGGATTAGCCAGGCACCCGCCACCACGCCTAGCTAAGGTTTTGTATTTTTAGTAGAGACAGGGTTTTACCATGTTGGCCAGGCTGGTCTCGAACTCCTGACCTCAAGTGATCCACCTGTCTCGGCCTCCCAAAGTGCTGGAATTACAAGCCTGAAGCCTGACCCACCATGCCTGGCCCTAAGTAATCATTTACAATGTGCCTATATACACTTACTATTTTGAATTAAAATAAAATGTTTATAGTTTCTTTTTTGCTGTATATTTTTAAAAAGTAAATCGACATGGGTTCTCGCTATGTTGATCAGGCTGGTCTTCAACTCCTGGTCTCAAGTGATCCTCCCATCTCAGCCTCACAGAATGCTAGGATTACAGGCAGGGGCCACTATGCTCAGCCCAATTTCTTTCTTCTTTGGACTGTAAGTACCTTAAGGGCAAGGAACTTGTTTCTTTAGTATCCACAGTACCTGCCACTCTTGAATTAACTTGCACTAATACTTGCCTTCTACCACCCCCTTTTATCCATTACTGCTTGTGTCTTGTCATTCCTCTGTTTAAGAGCCTTAAGAGGCTCCCCTCAGATAAAATTTTAAATTTCTAATGTGATATAAAAGATTCTTGTCAACCATTTCATTCCTTTCTTTCCAGACTCATGTCTTACCATTCCCTTACATGCACAGAATTTACATACTGTGGAGCTCTGGTATTTTCAGCATTACAAACACTGGGTAACCCTGTTTCTTATCTTAGTATCATAGCATATCCCATTACTTGTACCTGGAATGCATATTCCTCCTCTTTATCCCTCCTCCCAAAGAAGCCATTTTCCTTTTTGAGACTTAATTTAAAAATCCTCTCCCCTGGGAAGCTAGTTTCTCAAGCCCCTTATCTGTGACTTTCACACATAGAGTTGCAGTATAGTTATTTATCTCCACTGTTACATTGTGAAAATCTCTAGGACTGAATGTCCTTTACCTCTGGTTTCCCCATATCCTAGTTTATATCGTGGTACATAGTAGATACTCAATAAATGTTTGCATGAATGCATACATGTGAAATTGAATTTAATGAACTTGTTTGAAGCTATCTAACATTTTCACTTTTTTGTTAAATATATGATTTGTTGATATACTTATGCCTAATTTTAATTATATATTAAATGTTTTTGGGCCAGGCACTGTGACTTGTGCCTGTAGTCCCAGCACTTTGGGAGGCTGACACAGAGGATTGCTTGAGACCAGGAAGTTGAGACCAGCCTAGGCAATATAGTGAGACTATATATCTCTACAAAAAATTTAAAATTAGCCAGGCATGGTGGTGTGTGCCTGCAGTCCCAGCTATTATACACAGGAGGCTGAGGCGGTACACAGGAGGCTGAGGCGGGAGAATTTCCTGAGTCCAGGAAGCTGAGACTGCATTGAGCCTCTGTGTTCCAGCCTGGGCAACAGAGCGAGACCCTGCCTCTTACAAACAAAACAGAAAAGTTTTGACATTTGAATGGTTTATTTGATTTTCTAAGAACATTTTAAGTTTAGATATTTAAAAATATTTAAAATACAGCTTAAAAAAATAAAACAATCCTGTTTCCAAACATTCAAAATTTAATCACTAACATTTAATTTCATTTCTCTTGTTTTTATATATTCAAGGCTTATTGTGTAACAGAACCTGGAGCAGGCTCTGATGTAGCTGGTATAAAGACCAAAGCAGAAAAGAAAGGAGATGAGTATATTATTAATGGTCAGAAGATGTGGATAACCAATGGAGGAAAAGCTAGTTGGTATGTTGTTCAAAACATCTTTGTATATTTTTTCTTAATTGTTTTATCTTCAAATCTCTCTTTCTTCTTTCTCTATATTTTTAAACCACTACAGTTAAGGTATGTCTGTGGAACTGGAAGGTCTATAGGAGATGATAAACAGGTGATTTTCAAAAACTATTTTTAAGCCCCTGCACTATTTTTTCAAATTAACTCTCAGAAGTTTAATGTGTAAAATAAAATACAAATGCATGCTCTGTTTGAATCTGATTAGGAAGGCTAGCACTGTATCTACTTGGCTTATTATCTCCACTCCTCATCTCCTATACCAGCCATTCCTTGGAATCCTAAGACTCTAAGGAAAAAGGAAAACCTTTGGTATAGTGCCTGTCTCCAATTGTCAGAAATAAACAGAAGCAGTCTTAAAACAGGTTATCCATTAGAGAAGGCAGAATTTGACTTTAATAAAATCTGGAAATTTCTAATATATGGTCAAAAAAATAATATGGAGGTCAGCAAAGGATCAAACATAATTTGTATAAATATAAAATATTAAAGAAAAACACTTGATTATTTGTTGATAAAAGATGAGGAAAATTCATTAAGTAACTCTTAAGTTCAATAGGAATCAATAGTATGAGCCTTTAAAAAACTAATGTAATTTTAAGCCAAAGTAATAGAAGTACAACATCAAATAGGAGAGAAAAAAATGGTGACAGTTCTGGGCAACACATTAAACATATATTGAAAAAATTGACTAAATCTAGAAGCAGGTAAGTGTCTTACATTGGGAGGAGCCTACGAAACATGTTCTGAAAAGCAGAGCCTTGGTTACTTTGGAAGAATCTTGAAGTTTTTCAAATATTATTACACAGAAAGATGATCAGGCTTATGTGTTTACTTCAGGATGCCAGCTTAGAATTGATGGGTGAAAGTTAGAAAAATGTAGAATTGGGAAGGGGGAGGGATAGCCTTAGGAGATATACCTAATGTAAATGACGAGTTAATGGGTGCAGCACACAAACATGGCACATGTATACATATGTCACAAACCTGCACGTTGTGCACATGTACCCTAGAACATAAAGTATAATAATAAAAAAGAAAAGAAAAATGTAGAATTTAGCTTAATCTAAGGACAAGTTTTCCAGCAGCAGTGCTGTTAAGTTGTCATGGGAAATACTGTATTTACCCATCACTACAAGTATATAGAGAGTTTCTAGAATAACTTTTTATTGATTAGAATAATGTACTAAATGGCCTGTCTCTTTTTGTAAAAATTCTGATTCAATATATTTGTGTGCCATATAGTACAGTTTTCTAGCAAATAAAACATCATTTTTTCAGAATGAACCTGCTAAAAAGTTATTTAGTTTAAACATATCAATCAATTCCTTATGAGCATCCTAAATAGGTTCAGTATTATGGAGTGCTATATCTTTACCTTTAAGCAATTCCTGGTAATACCAGCAACTAATAAAGAATGAAGAAACTTAAAATTTAACAAGTTGAGAGAAATTGAACAATGCAGTTTGAAGTTTTTGTAATTTTAAAAACGGATTAGTCAGGTGCAGTGACTCACATCTGCAATCCCAGCACTTTTGGAGGCTGAGGCAGGAAGATTGCTTGAGCCCAGGAGTTCAAGACCAGCTTGGGCAACATAACGAGACCCCATCTTTACAAAATTGAATGAAATAACTGATTACAACTGTTCACTGTTCATATAGTAAGGCAAATAAGGTAACATATGAAACCAGATAACAATTTTTATGATTTTGTTACTATTAATATTAAATAAAACTATAGAATGAGTGGTAATGTATTGGTTTTAAGCAAAGAAAATAAGTTTGTGTTGTTAAGGGAAGAATATACCTTTTTAAAAGAATTTTTCATGTACCAGGGTATATGGAACATGAATTAGATGCTTGGATATTTGCATTTTTTTTCTTATGTTTCACTTCAAAATCTTTCTGAGAAATTCTTCTGTAGGAAAAAATCAGCAAATATTCATAATAACTCAGCTATAACAAAAACACTGACTTGCATAAAGAAACAGTAGTTGGAACATATGGGTCTCTGTTTTATATTATTCCTTTTCACAGGCAGCTCTATTTATCCTCCTTTTCAAGATAGCATGCCCCTTAAAGAATAAAATTAGTTTTGGGAGAGAAAAAGTGCCAGTTTCAACATGCACAGACTGTCTTGTTATATTACATTATTATTATACCAGGGATTTTTACTTACAACTCATACTACTAAAACAAAGTTAAATAGCATACTGTAGTCCCTCCTTATCTTTGCAGGATACATTCCAGGACCCCTAGTGGATACCTGAAGCTTCAGAAGTACCAAAGCCTATATATACTATATTTCTACACATATATACTTATGATAAAGTTTAATTGATAAAGTGGGCCCGGCAAGAGATTAACAACAACTACTAATGAAATAGAACTATAACAATATATTGTAATAAGTTATGTAAATGTTGGGCCAGGCATGGTGGCTCACACCTGTAATCACAGCACTTTAGAAGGCCCATGTGGGAGGATCCCTTGAGTCTAGGAGTTTGAGACCAGCCTGGGCAAGGTAATGGGACTTCATCCCTACAAAAAATAAAATTAGCTGGGCATGGTGGCACATGCCCATAGTACCAGTGACTCAGAAGAGGTGGAAGAATCACCTGAGCTGGGGAGGTCGAGGCTGCAGTGAGCCAAGATCATGCCACTGTACTCCAGCCTGGGCAACAGAGTGAGATCTTGTCCAAAAAAAAAAAAAAAAAAAAAAAGGTTATGTAAATGTCCTCTTTGTCTTTCAAAATATCCTATATGTACTGTACTGCGGGTAACTGAAACCACAGAAAGTGAAACCCCATGGAATGGGGGAGGGCCTACTGTGTTATTAGACATAGACCTCAAATACTATCTCTTCCATAGCTCTTTTAAACCTGATTGTTTATTTCCTCATTTGTAAAATGTAGGTAATAATAATTGGGATTGTTAAGAGGATTAACTGAGAGAGCAGTCACCATGTGTTATTTGCTGATATTATCACCATTATCGGTTGTGTGTATCTCTTAGGTATTTTTTATTGGCACGTTCTGATCCAGATCCTAAAGCTCCTGCTAATAAAGCCTTTACTGGATTCATTGTAGAAGCAGATACCCCAGGAATTCAGATTGGGAGAAAGGTAAAGTGTTTATCAATGATTAGGGCCCCAAATATTATTTTAATTATAAATTGCAAATTACTTAACTTTCCTTTAATGAAAACATTTGTTTGTAGTAAGTTGGAGTAAAAATAAACTGTGTTTTGATGATATTAGATCAAATAGTCTATATACTACTGAAGATTTTGTGAGCAGTCATTTCAAGTCATTTTGAAAGAGTAGTACTAACCTGTGGAGAAGGCTAATAACAGCTGTGAGGAATAATGAAGTAAAATCAAGCTACCATTTATATTACCTGACCAATAATAAGAATTTTGGATATTTCAAAGGACTTTCCCACACTTTTCCCCATTGGATCCTCACAGCAACCTTTTGGTAGGATAAATGGCATTATGCCCATTTTACAGATAAAAACAATGTGACATAATTGAGATTATACTAGGTCATATAACACTAAGAAAAACATCTATGCCTGAAAAGAGTGTAGAAAATAGCAAACAGCCTTGAATGTGGAAAGGCAAGAAAATCTTATTTAAATAAGAAAAGGTAATTTAACATATTTGAAAAGGTTTGTATTCTGAATATGTGGAGATAAATTCGGCGTTTAAAGTAGACTAAAGAGAAAAGAGTTTAAAATTTTATAACTCAGAGTTTAAAATTATAAATTTTATAAAGAAGGAAAGAAAGAAATGAAGTTAATAAAGTAATTTTCTTTCTTTTTTTTTTTTTTTTTTTTGAGACAGCATCTCGCTCTGTTGCCCAGGCTGGAGTGCAGTGGCAGGATCTCAGCTCACTGCAACCTCTGCCTCCTGGGCTCAGACAATCATCCCATCTCAGCCTCCTGAGTGGCTAGGATTACTGGCATGCACCACCACACATGGCTAATTTTTGTATTTTTTGTAGAGACAGGGTTGTGCTGTGTTGCCCAGCCTGGTCTCAGACTCCTGGGCTCAAGTGATCCTCCCACCTTGGCCCCCTAAAGTGCTGGGATTACAGGCACGAGCCACTGCACCCAACCAAGGTCACAAAGTGAGAGGCAGAATTGAAATCAATATGAAGGTATCCTAGGACCTTACTCAGTGTAGTTTATGATGCTATATTGTGCTATATTTTCAATCAGATATTAAAGGTAGACTGCACCTGACAAAACTGATGATACTGTTGTATGTAACAAAATATAAGAACTAAAAATTGTTGTGCTTTTCCCAAGAAATTGTTTTTTATTTATGTAACAGATCATGTTTCTGTCTTAGGAGTAGTTGCTAGCAAACTTGGCCAAATGTATGGCCCATCTTTAGAAAGTATAAAGGACCTAACAGCTTATACTTTTTTTAGTAGTAAACTCACTCCTGATTTTATCTTGCTATTTCTAGTTTTTTTTCTTTTTGCCTAATGTTCTCACTTAAAAAAAAAAAAACTCTACTTCAATAAATATTTATGTAGTGCATACCATATACAGTATTCTAGCTATTAGGGATACAGTATGGATCAAAATAGACAAAAATCCCTGGCCTTAAGTAAATTACTTTCTAGTGAGGGATATAGATAATTATGTTGTGTATATTTAAGCCTCCTTAAATCTTTATTGAAACAAATGGATATTTACAAATTTGTGAAATTTGATGTTTTCAGGCCAGGTTTGGTGGTTCATGATTGTAATCCTAGCACTTTGGGAGGCTGATCTGGGAGAACTGCTTGAACCCAGGAGTTCAGGACCAGCCTAGGCAACATATTGAGACTTTACCTCTACAAAAAAAAAAAAAAAAAAAAAATTTAATTAGCCAGTTGTAGTGACACACACCTGTAGTCCCAGGTACTTGGAAGGCTGAAGTGGGATGATCACTTAAGCCCAGGAAGTCAAGGCTGCAGTGAGCCATGCTCGTGTTGCTGCACTACAGCCTGGATGACAGAGTGAGACCTAATGTTTTCAAATGTTTTATGTTTTAGAAATTACATGGTTTGAGATGAGCCCAGGAAGCATTTTGGTTTTAAATGTTGTGGGGTTTGGGATGAATCTGGTAAGGTGTTTTCTCATTATATCTGAATGGTGGTCCAAGATTCTAGTTTATCAGCTTTTAAAGACAAAATAAAGGGATGTTGGTTTCTTTCTAGGTCAAACTATTGTTATCATTTCTTCAAACTCAGAAGCAGACTATTAAAACCAGCAAATTAAAGGATTACTTTATAGCTCTTTGTTTCCAATGCTCCTGTTTCTCATTCTGCTTATTAAAAATGAGATCAAATTTTTTTCCTTATTAAGAGTTATGTCTGCAACTTCCTCTCATGATTCAGCATAACACTAACAGTTATATACAAAGAGAAAGAGAAAAAATAAAGCAAATGTATCAAAATGTTAACAACTGGTGAATCTATTACAGGTGTAGGGTATATAAGTACTTATATGCCTATTACAACTCCTCCATTGGTTTGAAAATTTTTAAAACAAAAAGTTGAGGGAATGTAGCTAGTTTAGTAGTTTCTTATAAAGTCAAACATACACTTATCACATAACCAGTGCTCTTAGATAAATACCCAAGAGAAATGAAAATAGGACCTATATACAAATGTTTATTGCAATTTTATTAATGATTGCTAAAAATGAGGAGGGGGGTATCCATCAACTAGTGAAAAGATAATGGATATATGGTATATCCATACAGTGGGATACTACTCAGCAGTAAAATAAATGAATTATTGATTGTGCAGCAACATGGGTGAATCTCAGAAGCACTATACTAAGTGAAAAGTCAGACACAGAAAGCAGACTTTATTATTTCACTTAAATCACGTTCTGGAAAAGGAAAAACTACATGGAGAAAAATTACACAGTGGTTGCCAGGGGATAGGTGTAGAATAAGGAAATTGACTATAAAGGGAGAACAAGGTAACTTTTTGGGGTTCTAAAATACTCTATATTTTGAGCATGGTGGTGGTTACACACACATACATTTGTCAGAGTTATTAGAAATGTATACATAAAAATGATGACTTTTCTACATGTAAATTATACCTCAATAAACCTAATTTTAACAAAGAGTCAAAGGAAAACAATTTTTATTCAGTAGATTATTTTACTAGCTCTATTAAGATTAAAGGTCTCAAATCAGATTGTGTTTACTAAATGTTTTTTCTGACATGGTAAAATAGAGAGCTTTCAAACATAAAATGAGATTTGTCTTTGTTGATAAGATGTACTTGTAGACCTTTAGACTAGTGTTGGTTTCAAAATTTGTGAAACGTTGTTCGAGATTATGGTTGGCAAATTTTTTTGTAAAGATCCAAATTATAAATATTTCAGGCTTTGCAGGCCGTATCACTGTCACAACTACTCAGTTCTGCCATTGTAGCAAGAAAGTAACTGTAGATGATATGTAAACAAATAGGTGTGACTGTATTCCAATAAGGCTTTCTTTGTAAAACAGGCATTGCAGACTATACTTTGTTGATCCCTGTTTTAGGTAATTGCAGAAAGTCATGAAACAGTGATTAAAGCAAAAATTGATACTGGCTCAAAAAAAATTCCTTAAAATATACCAATTTTCTTATTAGGAATTAAACATGGGCCAGCGATGTTCAGATACTAGAGGAATTGTCTTCGAAGATGTGAAAGTGCCTAAAGAAAATGTTTTAATTGGTGACGGAGCTGGTTTCAAAATTGCAATGGGAGCTTTTGATAAAACCAGACCTACAGTAAGTAATATAAGTTGACAATCCTTATAGGATCTTTTATTTATTACATTAAATAAGTAGTTTTACTTTAAAATTGTATGTTTAGTGTGTTTCTCCTTTTAATATCTGCTTATTTTTTTAAGGATCTAGGAGAAATACTGTTACTTTTCTTTTTTTTTTTTGAGACAGAGTCACACTCTGTAACCAGGCTGGAGTGCAGTGGTACAATCTCAGCTCATTGCAACCTTTGCGTCCTGGGTTCAAGAGATTCTCCTGCCTCAGCCTCATGAGTAGCTGGGACTACAGGCACCCGCCACACTGCCCAGCTAATTTTTGTATTTTTAGTAGAGATGGGTTTCATCATATTGGCCAGGATGGTCTCGATCTCTTGACCTCGGCCTCCCAAAGTGCTGGGATTACAGGTGGGAGTCACTGCACCTGACCATATTGGTACTTTTCTTAATTTTTTAAATAATTCTTCAACTTTTCTTACTATCCATTATAGAAATTATTTTAGCAACTACAAAATTACTGTAGTTGGTGCTAGATTTGGAGAGGCAGTCCACCCTAAATATGATCATCCTGTTAATATGTACTCACTTTCTGTTTTCACTCATTAATATTTCCCCTAGTAATGTTTCTCTTGTTAAACAAAAGGAATGACTTTCTTCTAGAGTATGATACTATGCCTAACAAATGCCTCTTACTACCTTTAATTAACAAATAATATAAACTTACATGCCTATTTCCCGCTTCCCACCAGTTTCTTGTTGCTGTACATCACCTTCTCTTTGTACACTCCCTAACTTAGACACTTAGGTAGGTATTATGTGTTTTAAAGATAACATGAACTTTTGCTTTATAATATGTTAAAATGCTAGGTATCTTCTGGTGCTGTTGGATTAGCACAAAGAGCTTTGGATGAAGCTACCAAGTATGCCCTGGAAAGGAAAACTTTTGGAAAGTTACTTATAGAGGTAATTTTAATACTGCTTGCTTTGTTCAAATGTAAAGACACTCATTATCATTTAATATTTAGAAATGATTTTTAAACCACAAACTAATCAATTTCTACTTTGATAGCAGGAAGATAATGTGGTTTTATCAAGATGAGTTTCAAAGACAAATTTCTTTTTAGATTGTGCCACTAACTGTTGGTTACTTCTGTATCTGACACTGTGCTATGCGTTTTTTGTTTGTTTGTTTGTTTGTTTTGAGATGGAGTCTCGCTCTGTTGCTCAGGCTGGAGTGCAGTGGCACAATATCGGTTCACCACAACCTCCGCCTCCCGAGTTCAAGCAATTCTCCTGCCTCAGCCTCCCGAGTAGCGGGAACTACAGTTGTGCACCACTATGCCTGGCTAATTTTTGTATTTTTAGTAGAGATGGGGTTTCACTATGTTGACCAGGCTGGTCTTGATCCACCCACCTCAGCCTCCCAAAGTGCTGGGATTACAGGAATGAGCCACCGGGCCCGGCCTTGTGCTATGCATTTTCTAATTCTCTCAGTAACACTTTTTTGAGTAGTATTATCTCTTTTAAGGATCAAGAAACTGAAGCTCAGAGGTATCAAATGATTTGTCCAAGGCTACACAATTTATAAGTCACAGATCCAGAATTCTATTTTATACTTTTTTTTTTTTTTAAGCGGTGGTGGGTGGGGGACAAAGTCTTGCTCTGTCGTCCAGGCTGAAGTACAGTGGCATGATCTGGGCTCACTGAAACCCCCATCTCCCATGTTCAAGTGATTCTCCTGCCTCAACCCCCGAGTCGCTGGGACTACAGACACACACCACCACACCCAGCTAATTTTGGTATTTTTAGTAGAGACAGGGTTCCCTTATGTTGGCCGGGCTGGTGTTGAACTCCTGGCCTCAAGTGATCTGCCTGCCTCGGCCTCCCAAAGTGCTAGGATTACAGGCCTGAACCACTGCACCTGTCCTATGTTATATTCTTAATTCTGTTACTTCCCATCTCTTCTCGAGTGTCACATAATTTTAGTACTATAAAGAGTTGTGTCTTCCATGAATTTCCAGGGTAATTCTTAAGTCTTACCCTTCAAATATTGATGCCCCCCATTATCTGTATTCTCTCCTGCAACTCACTATGAGTTGTATAGTGAACCTCCTGTTTCTTTCTCTGTTTTTTTTTTTTGAGACAGTGTCTTGGTTGCCCAAATGTGAGTGCAATGGTACAGTCATGGCTCATTGCAGCTTCTCAGGATCAAGCAATCCTCTCACTTCAACCTCCTAAATAACTGGAACTATAGGGGCACACCATCATGCCTGCCTAATCTTTTTATTTTTGTAGAGATGGGGTCTCACTGTGTTGCCCAGGCTGGTCTCAAACACCTGAGCTCAAGCAATCCTTCCACCTCGGCCCCTCATGAGCCTCCTATTCCTATCTCCATTTGTCAGTGGTTCTCTAACTATCTGTCGCGAAAGACCAGTTTGTTTTAATTTCCAGTTAAACCATTATTTTTGTAAAATATAAGAATGTCACAACAATATTAAATTGCTGTAAAAGTTTCTAAATGCTTATTCTCATCTTCTGTACCATCAACCAGTAACAGTTTGTGAATCGGCACTGTGGACAAACTTGTATTAGCACTGCTCTGTGTCCCTTAACCTTAGTTTCGTAATTTATCTTTCTGCACTATATTCTAGGTAATTTTTTCAGATCTGCTTTCTAGTTCGCTTATCTTGTGCCTAATCTATTTAATCTATCTATGGATTTTTTTATTAATGACTACTTTTCATTTCCAGATGTTATATTTGTTTTTTTCCATTATACCTTCTTTTCAACATGGTACCACCTTTTCCTTTTTTGTCATTAATCATGTAAAAATTCTTCATTTATAATCAATTTCAGATTTTTTTGTTATCTTCAATTCTTAGGGTGCTAATCTTTCAAGGTGTATTGTGTCTCCTAACTCTTTTATGGTCAGTTATTTTGCTTTTATTTTTTATTTGTAAACAACTTATCTGCAGGAAGTACTGTATTTCTCAGAGCATTATAGAAGCATATTAGAAACTGGCTTTTGTACTTTTTTGGCACTTTTACTAGGTACTCCAGAGATTTCACCATTCTAAGAGCTGTTATTTTACATTCATTTCTCGACTTGGGGACTCCTGTATCACAGAGGCCATGTACATTGATCCCACACATTGAGAAACTCCCTACATTCCAGTCTGGGCAACAGCGTGAGACCCTGTCTCAAAACAACAACAGTAACAAAAGACCTTTTTTTTCTTGTTCTTTTTTTAACCCTCCTGGGCAAGAGAAGTACAAGGGGTTGGAGAATTCCCTTTCCTAGCTAAAGGAAACCGTAACAGACGGGACCTGGAAAATCGGGACACTCTCACCCTAATACTGTGCTTTACCAACAGGCTTAGCAAATAACACACCAGGAAATTATACACCGTGCCTAGCTTGGAGGGTCCCACACCCACAGAGCCTCGCTTACTGCTAGCCCAGCAGTCTGAGATCGAACTGCAAGGTGGCAGCAAGGCTGGGGAAGGGGAATCCGCCATTGCTGAGGCTTGAGTAGGTAAAAAAGTGGCCAAGAAGTGTGAACTGGGTTGAGCCCACTGCAGCTTTGGGAGGCCTGCCTGTCTCTGTCGACTCCCCTCTGGGGGCAGGGCATAGCTGAAAAAAAGGCAGCAGAAACTTCTGCAGACTTAAATGTCCCTGTCTGACAGCTTGGAAGAGAGTAGTGGTCCTCCCAGTATGGATTTTGAGATCTGAGAACAGACAAATGGCCTCCTCAAGTGGGTCCCTGACCCCCGAGTAGCCCAACTGGGAGAGACCTCCGCCAACTGACACCTCATACAGCCGGGTGCCCCTCCGAGACAAAGCTTCCACATGAATGATGAGGCAGCAACATTTGCCGTTCTGCAGTATTTGCAGTTCTGCAGCCTCCGCTGGTGATACCCAGGCAAACAGGGTCTGGAGTGGACCTCCAGCAAACTCCAACAGACCTGCAACTGAGGGTCCTGACTGTTAGAAGGAAAACTAACAAACAAAAAGGACATCCACACCAAAACCCCATCTGTATGTCACCATCATCAAAGACCAAAGTTAGATAAAAGCCCAAAGATGGGGAGAAACCAGAGCAGAAAAGCTGAAAACTAAAAATCAGAGCACCTCTTCTCCAATGGAACGCAGCTCCTCACCAGCAACAGAACAAAGCTAGACAGAGAATTACTTTGACGAATTGAGAGAAGAAAGCTTCAGACAATCGGTAATAACAGACTTCTCCAAGCTAAAGGAGGATGTTCAAACCCATCGCAAAGAAGCTAAAAACCTTGAAAAAAGATTAGACGAATGGCTAACTAGAATAAACAACGTAGAGAAGACCTTAAATGATCTGATGGAGCTGAAAACCATGGCACGAGAAGTACGTGATGCATGCATAAGCTTCAGTAGCCGATTTGATCAAGTGAAAGAAAGGGTATCAGTGATTGAAGATCAAATGAATGAAATGAAGCGAGAAGAGAAGTTTAGAGAAAAAGAGTAAAAAGAAATGAACAAAGCCTCCAAGAAATGTAAGACTATGTAAAAAGACCAAATCTACGTCTGGTTGGTATACCTGAAAGTGATGGGGAGAATGGAACCAAGTTGGAAAACACTCTTCAAGATATTATCCAGGAGAACTTCCCCAACCTAGCAAGGCAGGCCAACATTCAAATTCAGAAAATACAGAGAATGTCACAAAGATACTCCTCGAGAAGAGCAGCCCCAAGACACATAATTGTCAGATTCACCAAAGTTGAAATGAAGGAAAAAATGTTAAGTGCAGCCAGAGAGAAAGGTCGGGTTACCCACAAAGGGAAGCCCATCAGACTAACAGTGGATCTCTCAGCAGAAACCCTATAAGCTAGAAGAGATTGGGGGCCAGTAGTCAACATTCTTAAAGAATTTTTCAACCCAGAATTTCATAGCCAGCCAAACTAAGCTTCATAAGTGAAGGAGAAATAAAATTCTTTACAGACAAGCAAATGCTGAGAGATTTTGTCACCACCAGGCCTGCCTTACAAGAGCTCCTGAAGGAAGAACTAAACATGGAAAGGAACAAACGGCACCAGCCATTGCAAAAGCATGCCAAATTTTAAAGACCATCGATGCTAGGAATAAACTGCATCAACTAGTGGGCAAAATAACCAACTAACATCATAATGACGGGATCAAATTCACACATAACAATATTAACCTTAAATGTAAATGGGATAAATATTCCAGTTAAAAGACACACACTGGCAAATTGGATAAAGAGTCAAGAACCATCAGTGTGCTGTATTCAGAAGACCCATCTCACGTGCAGAGACACACATAGGCTCAAAATAAAGGGATGGAGGAAATATCTACCAATCAAATGGAAAACAAACAAAAAAAGCAGAGGCTGCAATCCTAGTCTCTGATAAAACAGACTTTAAACCAACAAAGATCAAAAGAGGCAAGGCCATTACATAATGGTAAGGGGATCAATTCAATAAGAGCTAACTATCCTAAATATATATGCACCCAATACAGGAGCACCCAGATTCATAAAGCAAGTCCTTAGAGACCTACAAAGAGACTTAGACCCCCACACTATAATAATGGGAGATTTTAACACCCCATTGTCAACATTAGATCAACAAGACAGAGAGTTAACAAGGATATCCAGGAATTGAACTCAGCTCTGCAACAAGAGGACATAATAGACATCTACAGAACTCTCCATGCCAAATCAACAGAATATACATTCTTCTCAGCACCACATCACACTTATTCCAAAATTGAGCACATAGTTGGAAGTAAAGCACTCCTCAGCAAATGTACAAGAACAGAAATTATAACAAACTGTCTCTCAGACCACAGCGCAAGCAAACTAGAACTCAAGATTAAGAAACTCACTCAAAACCGCTCAACTACAAGGAAACTGAACAACCTGTTCCTGAATGACTGCTGGGTACATAATGAAATGAAGGTAGAAA